TGCATGAATGTGGCGAAATGGTAAATGTAGCTCGGTTGTGTGAAAGTGACACTTGTAGCTCAGCTGTCATATTGGAACATATGTCTCTTCCTATTCTGTTGTGAACACTCGAGCCGAACACATGTAAGAGTAAAATCAAATTGGAATAAATTTAATTCAAAATCATCCGTGTCAGTTTATAACTTATTACAAAAAGTTTAAATTTTGATTAAAAACAAATTCGTGTCGATGTTTTTGTGAAACATATCGTTAAGTCTTTATTACTAATTATCATTTCATTGTTCTATTCTTATAGCGGATATGAGTCATCAACAAAAGAAGCTTAATTTATCTCATCCAGATAACCAGGATCATAATGAAATTGCGGTTGCGGATCCATCAAATGTGGAATCACCGCCCAAAATATTCAATTTGACCGTCGATTGCTTCGACGAAATATTCGAATATTTGAACATGGAAGATTTGCATTCATTCGGACAAACATGCAAGCGAATGAACAAAGTGGCCGGAGAATATTTCAAACAAAATCATTCATCGGCTGAGAATTTCTGCAAATATAATGCAATTCACACAACTTATTCGGACAAAGACGGTGTCGTAGAGATGGCCATTGAAACATCTGGTTTCAATAAGTTCGTGCCGTGCATTAAAATTTGTGGTAACGACTTCGATATACTTCGCTATATTCAATCCCAGGCCACTGAATTTGAGTCAACTAACCAAATGTTTCATGTGGGATTCGATATTAATGACAAATTAGTGGAGCATTTTGAACAATTGTTGCCCCAACTGGAAATTTTACGCTACACATGTTGTAGGGTTGATGGTGACTTATACGACTTGATGTTGAAATATTGTAAGAATTTGAGAGAGATTTATGTTCAAAACTCGACTGTCGGTAATCGCATAAATGGCGAAATTAAGTGGTTGTTACAAGAATATCCCAAGCTTGAATGTTTAGAATTAAGTCCCAGTGATTCTTCTCGAATTGAAGAGCTGCGTACATTTTTCGTACGCAATCCAAATGTACAGAGATTTTCAACTTCCGTCGATTTTTTGTGGAACAACGGTGACATATTTTTAAATTCCAACACAAAATTGGATATTTTGGAACTCAAAGACAAGGAAAGTATGCAGTCTTCGTCATATAGGAAGCAAACGTTGGACTTATTAAATCGACTCCATGAACAAGGATTTTATAAGCGACTATACATTTATATTTATGAATTTAACGAAGAACTTAGCAATTCTTTGGCCTCGGTCAAAGGTCTCGAGTTATAGTGCATTGACTGGTTTGACAAGAGTTATAATTTAGCTCAATTGACCAATCTGAGAGAGTTAATCATTTTGGATGCATGGGATGTCAAGGATATGGAGATCTTAGCAAATAGCCTTACGAAACTCGAACGTCTTTACATTAATAGAGCTACTAGCATCGATGATATTATGCCATTCATTCGTCGATCAACGAAATTGAATAAAATCAAATTCATACCATTGCATAGAGGTATAGTTTTGAATTTGGCAATGTTGAGTAAGGAACGTGCCAAATTGGTTGGAGCACGAAAAATAACGATTTATACGCGTGATGATGTCTTCTTGGCTACTAAATGGACGACCAGAAATGGTGACACGAATTTAAGCTGCATCGAAATTAGACGATCGGATTCGTATGAATGGAATCCACGTTTTTTCTAATTCGACTTGAATTAAAAAACTTTTTACTTACATCCATTTCGATATATGCTTCATTTTCTAACAAAGAAGTATACAAGTTTACAACTTTTATATGAGTCTTGAACCGTAATAACTTAAAAACACAAAAATGTAAGGAAGATTACAAAACTAATGAAGTGTAATAAGTAAAGTCTTGAATAAAGAAAAATCGAATCAAAAATGTATTTATGCATGTTTGTTTTCATCTTTTAAAATTGATTTGAATCAAGAAAATGTGAAAATTCCAATACGCTAAAGAAAATGAATAACCAAATTTATAACAAAAAACGAATTCTTACAAAGAAGTTTTATGAAATAACATAACATTTAAAAGTTTCATTTAAATTTTGGCGAGAATTTTTTGAAACGAATGGAATTAACGACGGTATAATTTAAGTACAGCCAACTTTGGATTGAAGTGAAACAAGTATCAAAATTATATCTGTCTCTCTCCAAGCTTTTTTCGACAATTGTTATCAGTATGCACAAAGCTGTAGCACAAACATGATGAAGAAAAAAAGCAAGAAATATAGAACGATACATCGGCGTGTCCATCAAATGTGGAATCACCACCAAAAATATTCAAATTGACCATCGATTGCTTTGACGAAATGTTCGAATATTTGAACATGAAAGATTTGCATTCATTCAAATTCTAACAAAATCATTCATCGGCTGAGAAATTCTGCGCAAAAGATGGAATTCACACAGTTTATTCGGACAAAGACAGTGTTATAAATGAACGCATTCAAACATCTGGTTTCAATGAGTTCATGCCTTGCATTTCACATTATCATCGTGACCTCGGTCCACTCAAATATATTAAATCGCACATCAGTGAATTTGAGTCAACTAACCACATCTATCTTGTAAATGTAGATGTTAATATTGACAGAATTGAGCATTTGAAACAATTTTTGTCCCAACTGGATATTGTGCAACTTCGATATTGTTCGATGTATGGTGACAGTTACGATTTGATATTGAAATATTGTAAGAATTTGAGAGAAATTTATGTTCAAGATTCGGATGTCGATAACTGCATAAATTGGCTGCTAGAAAAATTCAGTGGAATTCTGCTGATCCATGGATTCTCAGGATTTGACCTGGATTCCCGAACTTCCATAATGTAATTACAATTAAAAATACATACAATTACACGAAGAATGGATTTTTTATAGAATATCGTGATGATGTCTTCTTGGCTACTAAATGGACGACCAGAAATGGAGACACCAATTTGAACTTCATCGAAATGAGACGATCGGATTCGATAAAATGGGAAAATTTCGATTAAATACAAATTGTAAGAATGGATCAGATCAATATTCCACTTGAATTTAAAATATTTTCACAAACATATGCCCACCTCAATCGGTGAGTCACACCATCGTACTATTACTGGTAAAAGCGAATTAATAAGTACAAATAGCGATTGGCGATTGGCAATATTAATATTTTGTATGTATGTGAACGAACGCGTCACTGAAAATTTATATCAGAACATTTTCAGATTTATATCAGACGCAATACTGCGTCACAGTGAGAACTTTGAAAGAAGTGTTTTATACTTATACTAATATATGTTATGGAATAAACTTCTGAAAAAATATTCCATTGAATATTAGAAATAAAGAATATATGATTTCATTGCAAAATGTATCGCATAATTTTCATTTTTACCGACAATTATTCAAACAGAATGTGCCATCAGATG